GAGTGGTCATGGTGGTAGATCTCTGAGTATTAACCTGTTGCCATGTTTATCAATGTTACTGTTTTTTTCTGAGTATCTGGGCTGCTAAAGAAAGCTCTCATTGAAAATCAGTAAATCACCTTGGCTGTCTGTAAATCTTCTTTTAAAATTTATTTAGAAGTACGTTGCAGATAGATGGACCTTACAATGAAGCATTTTATGAGAAGCTGCTAGATCTTTCAACTGAAGATGACGGGACAGTAGCATTTGCGTTAACAAAGGTATTTTCCTGCGCATGTTGTTGAAGCTCATTTAGTCCGTCAATTTTAATAAACGTCTGTCTAATGGAAATGGATGGATAGCCTGTGAGCATCACCACTGGCTTGTCAGAGGCGGGCACCGTGAAAGTTCCTGTTGTGCCAGGGTGTGTCTTTATAGAAGAAGCAGTTAAAACCAAACATGTTTAGCACCAGTTCTTGCGAGAAAAATAAGGCTAAGGCTGGTTATTTCCTTTCTAGACAGAGGAAGTGTTTGCATGAACTGTGCTGGTTTGGCTTTCAAGAGAAGTAGCTGTAGGAAATAAACATGATTCTACATAGAATGCTGTAAGACCACTTGCTCCTGGCTAACCATCTGTTACAGGGACAATTTCCAGCTCTTAAAATAACAACATACTAATATACTGAGCGTACTAACGCCTTTTGTAAAGAACAGTATGCTTTACTAAGGCAAGTAGAAGTGTACCAGAAACTTGATGTTCCTTTTTCTGTCGCTCAGGTGCAGCAGTACAGAATAGCAATGACTGCTAAGGACTGCTCCATCATGATTGCCCTTTCACCCTGCCTGCAAGATGAATGGTAAGAGATACTTGTCTGTGAATGACTCCTACGCACTTAGAAACTGAAGATGTGTTTGCACAGCTCAGTCAACTCAAGCACCTGTTTAAAAAAAAATAGGGTGTTTTTTTGGTTTGGCTGTGAGGATATTAGTAAGGTGGAGTTCTGATTTAAGACACATAGGACAGATGTCTCTTTCTGAAGAGTTTTAAGTTGATAAGAAGGGTTAAGGTTTTATATTTACTCCCTTAAAATCTTAATTGACTGTTCATAGTAGATCTATATGGTTTTAACTAGTACAGTTTTTCTGCCTTGGTGTCCTCATATGACAGGTTTTTCAAGATGAGTTACCTTTAGGTGCCTAATTAAAATAGGCAATAATCAAGAGGTGACATCTTTCACTCTGAGGCTGGAGGCTTGGCCACAATGTTACTACCCATTTGGGCTTGTGTCAGCAATCATAGTCTGCTCTTGTGGAGGAGAGTTTGCTTTACCAAAGCCTTGTTATTTTTAGAGAACATTGTTTTCTGTGTTTGCCTCGCAGTTGTTGAATAAAATGTTTGTCTTGAATAAATGCTTGTGATGGAGATGACGTGTACAATTTGAGTCCTCCATCCTTCAGTATGTTTGGACACTACTTCTGGTACTAAATTTGTATTATCTTGAACCCAAGTAGGAGTTGCAGTAATTCTTTCTGCTTCTGCTAGTTACTACTTGCTATTGCTTTGTATGCGTACCACCTAGAGATACTGAATACAAAGACACAGTAATTGGAGGTAATGTTTTCACTTAAGCTGTGTGGAAGCTGAAAGGAACACGACTGGAAGAGGTGCCAGCAAGACTGGTTAAGCTGGAGCTATAGTTTCCTAAATGCTGCCTTAGCTGAAGTTTATTTTCTTAAGCTCCCATGAATGTTCTAAGATAAACATGAGAGTCACTTTTGAAGGGGACTCGGGATACACAAATGAAGAGCGTTAGCTTCGGTGGCTCAGATGTGCAATATGGTTTTGTTTTCCAGCTCTGAGCAAAGACCTGTGGTACTAACTTCCAAATCGAGATTCACCTTTTCTGTTTCTGTCCTGGACCTCGATCTCAAACCCTATGAAAGCATTCCTCATCAGTACAAACTTGATGGCAAGATCGTAAACTATTATTTGAAGAACGTACAGGCCAAAGATGACCCAGTTATGTCCAATCTCTTCAAGGAGAATGAAGACTGCACTTTAGTTCTCCATAAAGTGTAACCCTTTCCTTAAGGTTATTTTTATTGGAACACATTGGAAAGTGAAAGATTAATGGAATACAATTATGGTGATTTTTTTTTTTCTGTTGTGTTCAGTGCATTTTTCAGCTGTGAATGTTTTTGCTTTAAGAAACGATTTCTAATTGGTATGCCTCTTCAGAGACATGGAGTAGCACTAAACCATGCTTTTGCTATATAACCTTAATGAATGTATTTAATACGACAGAACAGATAACGTGCCATACCTTGGAGCTAGAGGACAGATCAAATCAATGCTAAAAGTCTACTTCCTTAGAATTGAAAGAGCACAGAATTAGAGGTTTCCTGAAGTATTGCACTAACATAGAAAGCCTGATTACTAACAAGAGAATTGCCTTGGAGCTTGTGCTTTGAATCTCACTCATACCTACTAGGAAGAGGGAATGCTCTGGCAAAACCTAATATAAAACTTTAGCATTAAGTCCACTGAAAATACAGCTGAAGTAAGTGGCTGCTCAAGTGTTACCAGTCTGTGGAACTACTGTGTTACTGCAGAACACTTTTAAGTACTAATGCATGAGATTAAGAACACCAGACTGCCTCCAGAAGTTTATGATCACCTTGTATCTACCTGAAGCTTCTGAAACTAAGTGAAAAGGGTTAAAGGTAAGCGTCTCTGAATTTTATGTGATAGCTGGGCTTAACTTGTCTGACATACTGGGCTTTTATTTTCTATACATTATATGCTGCTATTGAAGGTGAAACCACAGCTCGCTCTTAACTAATTTAAATTTAGCTACAGAAATAATATGTTCTGAGTTTTACAGATTATTTCAGGTCTTTCAGATTGTGTCCAATGTTGATGTTATTTCACTGATATTCCACATACTGCATAGCGTGACCAGGTGCTTCCAGGCTTATTCTTTTTAAGTGACTCAGAAGAAAGGTGACAGTGTCTGATTTTCTGAAGCTGCAGGGGGTCACTTTCTCATGAGGAGGAGTACTGGAGCTAAGCTTTTATCACTACTTCATCAATTGAATGATGCCTTTACTTTGTAATTGGTATGTGCAGCTGGAGACTTGTGAGATGTTACAGTAGATGTCATCCTCAAGGAAGACCCTGAGTTGGAGACTGAGGATATATTCAAAACTGAGGGTAGTATGATAAACACTTTTCCCATATACTTGGGGATTACACACCCTGAAACATGCAGAGAGATGCTATTCAAGCTACAGTGAACTGCTGTTACCTGGATACAGTGTGTGCTTACTGGCAGTGTTTTTCAAAATAATGTAGGTTAGCATTTACAAAAAATATATTGTGATCTCAATGTAGGGTTTGAATTGTTCTGTTTCACCTGAAATTCAAAACCAAAACCAGAAAACCTTGTATCTGTTGGCACAACTGAAGGGCCGAGTAACGCCACGCACGCAGCAGTGGAGCTTTGCCGTGGGCAGCGGCCCACAGTAGCAGGCTCCTGTACTCCACTTCCAGGTGCCAGCGTGCAGTTCGGGGACAGGGCCGTGGGCTGCGCTCGCTGCAACGGGATGCTACAACAGTGCAATAAGCTGGTAGCTGACAGTGGTAATAACCCCTTCTTTCCAGAGAAAACCCTGGGGGGAGAGCGTGCTACCTGTGAATCCAGAAATCCTCCTGAACTGTTGGGCAAGAGGAGGAAGGAAGGACTATCCACAGCTGGAAAGTGTTCAGGTTTTTTGTGCTGTAACTTTACATACATTTCATATGCAAATAGACGTGTTTGTGCTGATCAAACAGTTTCATTTTCATGCAAGAAGGAGCTAAAGATGAAATAAATTAAAGGTTACACAAACTCGCTAAACCAGTAACATGTCAGCAGATAAAGTAGCAATGAATTTTGCCTGTCTACTGCATTCCAAACTTGAAATTAGTCTGCCTTATCTCTAACAAGGTATGTTTTTACAGAGCCGCTGTTCAGCAAAATAATCTTGGGCATTGCTCATCTGTAGATTCAGACAGAAACCAATCCCATCTGTCAGTTTTTCCTGACCTGCCAGAACAGAAGGAGACTATATCAGTGATCAAATAGTGGATTGTTAAAATTACAGTATGATAAACATACTGTTGCTTTAGTTCTTGATTTCTCCACCTATCTCACCATTGCTATATAATACTTTGTGATAACAGGCAGTTGTACTACTTGCATGGTCAGAGAAGCTGTGGACTTGAAAAAGAAGTGTCTATTACTTGAGAGAGTCCACAGTTTGTGTGTTTGGCCCCTTGCGTCCAGGAGCAACAGCTGTTACTCCCTGCCTCGAAAGTACGAGACTTCCACTTGTAGAGGTTTGGCTTGGATAAGGTCTTTTGGTTGCAGGAGCCAGTGCTGAGCTCTCCTGAAAAATGCTGAAGAGTTCCCAAACAAGCTAGTGGTACATCTGATGGAAGTAAAGGAAGATTACAAGACATCTGTCTAATCGGTTTTGTTTCTTCAGGGATGAATGTATCAAATGTGATGCTTTTGTGATGTGTTACCTACTAGAATTTCCCCCTAGAAGTAGGAAGTCAAAATAAGGTACTGCAGTGAGCAGTAGTTAACTCGTCCATCTCTTTGCAGAAGTGTAATGGTCCTTTCTTGTTTAGTTTAATGCTGTCTCTACTCAACACTTACACTGTGGAAAACAGTTACTTCGTACAGTTACTACGCTAAGAAAAAAAGGGTATGTCTTTGCAACCTTCAAATTGTCTACTTCCACTCTAATTTAATGAGAAAGCTATTTAACTCTTTGTTCTAGGAGTCTCTTACTGTTCTCTTGACATTTTAAAATCACTGTACTTTTACAGAGCTGTGAAATGAAATGGATTTTTATGGACTTGATTTTGACAGTGCATGATCTTTTAACACTTTCCAGGTATCTAGAAAATGTTAAGAAGATAAACCACTCTGGTACATTAATGATTCAGAAAGATAAATTTATAATGAAATCACTCTGTACATGTAACTATTTTATTTGGCATTTTTGTATTTAAATGGCTGTATTTATTTTCATGTCATGACAATTTATATATAACGTGCCATAATTGTACAGATAGCATGTTTTATGAGTATGGTTTCTAAATGGAAAATAACTTAATGTTTATATTCAATAAAATTATAGACTGTGTAACACAATATCTTAATTAAAACTACTTTTGAAATTGCTACCTGTTGTAAGTCATGCTGGTATTGATTTTCCCAAGCCAACCACTCTGATCAGATTCTCAATCGCTGACTCAATCCCAAACAGAAGCAGCATGCTTCGGAAGCGGGCGGGTACATTTTCAATAGTTGCCATCTTCTGCTGCAAGACTGCAAGGAAAATGTAACAATCAATGTTTTTTTCCCAAACAGTTGCACTATTACTGAAAGTAGCTGCCAGCAATTGCATTTTTGGATAAAATGGGTTACCTGCTGCCTAGAGGAGGAAGACATACTTGTTTTTGTAAACCCTTTTAAATTATTCAGGAGGTGAAGCTTAGCTGCTTGCTAAATTGGGATTTCTTTGCTTGGTTGGGCTCTGCAAGATGGATTTCTGGTTTATCTAAAGAGATGTTGGCCAAAAAAGGGGACAGGTGTTCTATGTGAAAGCACAAACGCGGTCTCTGGAGTCAATGATGTTACCTTGCTCTGGTACTTTCGTCAGAAGGTCCAGAACAGGCGTAGTTCTCCCTTCTTCATCTAGATGTACCTTCCAAACAATCGTCAATTCAAACCTGTGTCACGTGCACAGAAAAGTTGGTTAAGTGTTAACTTGGCAACTGTCTCTAAGTTTTCTTTAATGCAGAAAGTACAGTATTGAGGAGGGTCACACTCATTATGCTCTTAAACAACGTTCCCTCAGGTGATGCAACTTACCTGTCTCTCTCTGTTTGAGAACTGGAAACACTTAACAGTTTGAACCAAGGAAAACTCATAATCTATTGACAAGGACAGGTTATGATTTCATTTCTGGGTACATTCAAATTTTCAACCTTAGGGATTTTTCCCCTGATTCTTATCTTTGTCTCTTATGAATGGTAAGTTTCTGTGGAGCAGTGGTAAAAAAACTAAGACACGAAAGAAAAAGAGTATGTAAGGGGCTGGGGGGAGGGAAATGCTGTCTGCACCCTGTGGTCAGGTACTGTGCTTAGTACAGCATGAAAAGAGAGGGAAATTGTTTCACAAGTGTTTGCATCTAAATAGTGATGATGTTCTGGGTTTGGAATAAGGTCCACCTCAACAGTGTTCATGGCCTTTTCAGAATAACGCACAGGGATAAATATAGCCAAGGCCTAGATTCCTACATTCACTTGCTATTAAGATAATAACCTGAACCATCATTACTCCTTCAAGAGTGTTTCTGGTGGTTTTTGCAAGGCTAATTCCCATTTCCAGCTTTCGCCGTGGGATAAGATGACTACACCGTAACTAAGTGAACAATGAGGCAGTTGGCTTCTACAGGTGGAGAGTCTTTCTAGTCAAGTACAGACTCTAGAACAACGTTCATACGAGTTTTGCTGCTTTGTGACATCCCATCTGCCTTACTGCATTTGCAGTCCCTTCCAATCCCTACTTTTAGGAGTATTCCCTATTGAAAGCAAGGCTTTCCTAGTGTAAAGCTGACAGGCACAATAACAAGTCATTGCCAGGAGGAAGTTCTCTTTCTCAGCATTGTTTGAATAATCACAACTGTAAAAGTTTCCTTTTAAATAGGACTTGTCAGCCTTTTGCCACTTCATTGTTAAAAATCCTTCGAGAATTTGTGCAGTTTGTTCTGGGATTTTGTGAACTAATTAATATGCAAATGTATTTCCTACCAACCCACTGAAATGATTTTAAATTCCCGTATTTCATGATCGTGGGTGAGAGGGAACGTGTAATGGAACTTGGCACTTGTTGACATGCAGAGAAACTGTAAAATAGAGCAGCTTATTTTCTAACTGTGATGATGGTCTCACAACAATTTGGTTCAGCAACCCGGAGTTGAAGCATTTAGTTTTACAGGCAGATTTGGCTAACCTGAGACAGCACTAGCTATTATGGTTTATTTGCTGGGTCCACAAACAATATGGTGGAGGGAGCTATACTTTATTTCCAGTTTTTCCATATAAATTAATGCATGTTATAGCAAAAATGTAATGAGAAGGGAATGATCTCATCCTTTCAGAAAATAGCTACTTTTCTTGGCCCTCACAGAATTCCTGACAGTGATAAATACATTGCTTTACATGCAACTTCAAGGATTTTTTTACTCAATTCGAAAACCCAAACCTGTCAGAACATGTCTAGCAGGGAGTCCAAACAACTCCAGCATGTGTGGTAGAGTAATAGTAATAAATGGCAGCGCAGTGATCCCCTCCCTCTGATTTCCTTCTAAAACAATGGAAAAACATAGCTACAGTTGCTTTTAGTAATGTAATAACTGCAATTTTCTTTCCATTCTTTAATGGCAAGAAGACCAAAGAACTGTGCTTTGCTTCAGAGATTTGTGATCGTTGCACCTCCTACCAGAGAAGAAAGAATGAGCTGTAGTTGAGCAGCTGCCACACTGGCCCTCGCCTGCAAGAAGGGAGAAGCTTCGTCGCTCGAGGCCCGGGGGTGGAAAATACTGCCTTATCTCATGGAGGACGGTGGCCAGTGGCCCACCCTGTCACGTCACAGTAAGAGGGATGGTGGCCTCAGCATCTGCTCTGCCCCTTGCTCTGGCCGTGTAACACAGAAAGAACTGAGATGGAACAGATCCAGCTGAACCTGACGTTTCCTGATGCGCGAGAGGGAGGATGCAGCCCACATTCCTAAACTTTGAATTTAGACTCTTCATTGTAGCATGAGCTTCCAAAACCAACACAGTAATAGATATTTTTTTTGTCTTAAAATGCAAATGAAAAGCCTGCTAGATAGAGCCCTTTCTTTTTTTTCCACCTAGCTTTCTAAAAAAGCGGGTACACACAGTAGCAATACAATTGACGTATCTAACAAAGTCACATGCAGGCAGCCTGTGCATATTTTTTTTTTCCCTCGTGTTTTTAAAATGTGGTTCTAGCCCTAAAATGCAACACACATCATCTAATCTCTGTGTTTAGAGGCGTTATAAAGCAAAGAGTGACTAAATGTTCAGTCTGATTACCTATAGATCATGCATTTCATATTCTCTATGTACATAAATGAAGAAATGTATTTCTTGGCTTACCCAGGAAGTTTGGGGTTCCTTAGAATTATATAGTCTCCCAGCAGTCCTTCCGGAAGGGTCACAACATCAGGATATTTGCCCTGGGAATAAACAGGTTCCAAAGGGCATAAATTAAGTCACAAAAATCACAGCAGAAAGGCGCTTTCTAGCTAGTGCTTTCCAGTTGCAGTGGATTTTAATATGCTGCCACTTCTAGCTTCCATTTGTAATAGTTAAGAGTAATAAAACTAATTGTTTAAAATGCTCAATTTTGTGGGGTTTTTTTTAGGTTTTGATGGTTTGGGGGTTTTTGGTTCTTTGCAGTAGCAACCATGGTATCAAGAGATACTTAAATTTGGTCACTTCAGAGGAAAAAACAGTATCAGGCGCTTGTACAAACAGGCTTTGGAGGTCCTTGTGCAAGACCTAGAAAACCTTGAAAGAATATTTTTTTAACTAAGTTCTGTTAAGTTAATTTAATAACACATTGTAACACATCAGCATTTTACCACCCTCCCTCTGTGATTTAAAACCTTACTAGTACACTCGTTTTGATATTCCTTTTGAGAAAGTGGATCACCAAGTTCCAAACAGTGCTTTGAAGGTGTGAAGTACTAAAGGCAACGACATACCAAATAACCACTAGTATCAAAATGTAATGGGACAACGGAAACACGATAAAACATACAAAACTACTGACTACTATTAAACTTCCATGCGACTGGGAATCAGAGATATTTTCAATTTCTTGTGTGCAAATTATGATCTTCCTTCCATTATGTTGTTAGCGTAGCTAATGTTTTACCTTGAATTGCCTAAGACGTATCACTTTTGCTATAACTATTTCGAAAGCATGTAAAAGAAAGGCAGAATAGTAGCTATGTGTGGATTCTTTGGAAGTTACACAGTATGTAAGGTGACACTCAGAGTATGAGGAGATCCACATGCACCAAAATACTGGGAAAGAACACAGTTACTGCATCCTGCAGGGACATGCTATTGCAGAAGAAAACACAATCTAGATCAGCCTGTTGAAGGCTTCAGCTCTGTTACTTGTGCTGTCTTACATACTGGATACAAACCTGTGTTCCAAAAATTGCAGTTTATAAGGTGTGAAAAGGCTGTCGGCCTAAATCATTCTACAGCGCTCACAGGGCAAATGGTATTTCTTACGGAAAAGGAGCGGGAGAGCTCCTCTTTGAAAAGCACAGGAGAAACTGAGTTAGGTTTTATAGCATTACGCCTCATCTGGCAGACTGAAATTGCTACCAGATGTGACCTTGCTCTGGTTTAGGAATTTATGACAAACTGAAGGGGGTTTGTGCAGAATGCCAAATGACATAAAACACATGGAATTTGCCAGTTTTAATTTCTACAAAGTATCTAGAACTGTATTTACCATGGGGATAAAGGCCCATAAGGGGCAACAAAATAAACAGTGGTTACAGCGTGAAAACGTGGCCGATGCAAGGACACTCGCCTCGCAGAACAGAGATCTTTTTTCAGCTTCACTCCCTGTAGAATTATGCTACTTTGATGACAATACAAAACAAGTTTTTCAGGCTTTCCTTCTCAATAACCCATGTATTTGATATTCATTACGTGCCTTCATTTGTCTGTTACCGTAGGTCTCGGAGAATCTAGCAATCTCTTTAGCTCCAGGTTGCAAATAATAGAAATTTAGGATTAGCTTGTTTATGGTGAACTCAACTCTTAAGTTCCTCGTTTACAAGAGATCCCAAGTATACCACGGCTAAACACTGAGTCATGTTTTATCTTCATCCGCCCATACTGAAGCCTTTGGGAATCACAAGAGAAAATAGATCAGAGGCACTAGATAAGAGCTCAAATTTTCAAACCACTGTAAAATGCACCCCTGACTCCTTTGGGAGCTCCAGTGTAGCTACCATAATCGATGCATTTGCCCCCAGTTAGTGGGTGGTATTTTATGTTGTACACAACCAGAGGTATCTCAAGGAAATCTCAAAGTCTGTAATTTTCTGTTGTCTAAAAGTTTCCTGTACCTGCGTTGGTGAGTTCTGCACACGAAGCGGTTATTCTGTGCCTTAAATAAATGCCAAGGTTTTGACAATCCATCTGCATGCTGTGAGAATATGTCTGGTGTGAAATTTCACAGAATTTGGGATAAAATCTGGCTTCTTAGCAGGGAAGATGATATTTTAGCAATCCACAAAACACACAAGAAGTCAAACCACAAATACCTACATCTCTCTTCAGGCGTATTACGTGCTAAAACTGAAGTCGTACCAGTGGCACGACGCAGTACCTCGCCCGGACCCACGGACGGATGCATGTCTGTCTGCCCGTCTCACCTCAGGGTCACTCTGAACCACCATGTGGCAGAAGCAGGAAAAGAACCACCACAGCCAGGATTAAATGAGCATTTTAAACTCTGACAATTTAGGGAACAAAACCCAGGAAACGCAGTCACACAATCTACCTTTCATATTCCACATATAAATGTAATGTCTGTATCCCGCAGGTACAACGGGGGGATCTGGCAGGTCAATGAAAAGCCAGGCACACGGTACGCACAAGCTGCAACAGCCCTGACAGAACTGCAATCCCAAATACACTCTGTGGGTACCAGATTAGCACCTCATATTCTCTGCTGCACAACTTTTCTAAGTTTTCCCCAGGGAAAAGAAAAGCTGAGCAACAAGCAGGGTAACAGAATGACCTGAGCCACTGAAAGGTCCCTTGGGAAAGTCAGTAACTCCTATAGAATCTTGAAAAAAGGACGCCGGGCAACCAGAAAGATACCACATCAAGTAGCGCAACACCAGATGGGAAAGATCAGCTACAACTGCATTAAGCAAAAACTGACTTTAATCAAGAAATATCTTTCCTCAGACGACTTTGAAATGTCAGTGTATGATCAAAACCAAAGCTTATGCTATTATTACTTCTGGACGGAAATTGTTTTTCCAGCTCCTTCAGGAGTCCAAGCAGGCAATCTTATGGGAACTTGTGTCTAAACCAGAAATAGTCTCAAATCACAACGGGACGACAATCACGATGGAATACACAGTCTTCCCTTTCTCCCATGACGGATTTTACACATACACACACACAGAGTGTCTATAAACAAAGTATATTACTCTTCAGCTGTTGACAATTGCGTTGCAATTTTCTGCAAACTAAAACTCTTCTAAGGAAAATGTTTTATGTTTTAAGTTATTCATCTTAAGAGCCATGATTAAGAATGCAAAGCAGAAGCTTGCAAAAAGCAGACTAAAAGCAGACACATTTGCTTCTAACCCACTTATGAAGAAAATATGCTACGCTGCTCTTAGGTGGAACAATAGTTCACACTTACTGCTAATTTTAAACTTGGCATTGATTCTGTAAGGACTGTAAATGGAGAGTGCCAAGCAAGTTATGCTGCTATGAGTCTCTCCACAGGCATAAGCTACTTCTAAATTTACCAAAGGCTCGGATTCGGGGTGATTTATATGTATGTTTTGCGCAGGTAAGGCCACAGTATCATCACCTGGTGGTAGCATCAAGGCCTTAAATAACGACATCAACATTAACTTTGGTGATTCAAATACAAATTATTTGCAAAAATGATGGGAAATTCTAGATAGTGTAGAATACCAGTAATGACAGGATTAGATTCCAGAAGCGTTATACAATCAAACCCACTGCCACCAGCCTGCTATCCGCTGCAGAAATGTAGGTCAATCCCTTAAGTAGCAGTGAAGTGGGAAGCCATCCCACTGTACTGCCCCACGCACTCCTGCTGAGAGTCTGAATTCAGAGCAGCTGTGTTCTCCAACAGCCTCAGTCTCTGGTTTGAGCAGTGATCTGATTTTTAGACTATAGTAATCTAACTCAGATAATAACAACAAATGAAATAATTTCACTATTACCATGATCATAGAATCGTCTGGTTGGAAGAGACCTTCAAGATCATCGAGTCCAACCATTCACCCTGCACTGTCAGGGTCCCTAAACCATGTTGCTCAACACCAAATCCACACGGTTTTTAAAAACCTCCAGGGATGGGGACTCCACCACCTCCCTGGGCAGCCTGTTCCAATACTTCACAACCCTCTCTGTAAAAAAATTCTTCCTGATATCTAACCTAAATTTTCCCTGTCATAACTTAAGGCCATTCCCTCTCGACTTGAGGCCATTCCCTGATCAAGTTCTACAGATACCTAAAACCAGCAAACACCAAGCTACGAAATGTAAGTGCAGCAATTACATTTTTTGAAATTAGTTTGTATTCCTGCTTTTACTAAGCCTTCTTCTAGCCCGCATAACTACAGTTCCATTTAGGAGATCTGGTCTTACAATTTATCTGTCCTTAATGCACATTTGGTGCCACCTTCACTAAGGATTCTTATCCTCAAGTTACCAACTATTTTGATCTGTCACAAATGGAACATTGCGTATACATTTCCAATCAATTATCTTTCTAGAAATGTAATTTAAGTTGTTTTGATCAGTTTCATTTTTAGATATTGGTCAATACATTTGTTAATGCATTTCAATTAACTAAAATATTTTCTCTTGTAAGACAGCTGTCACCAACATGAATATATAATAAGGATTTATACTTTCCTGTATTTTTAAAGTACAGTGGCAAGGCCTAAGTCAATGAAAAATCTCTCCAAGAAATTTAACTTTTCTTGTACCAACATCCACCTCAGATTTCAACAAACCAGTCTGTCAATACGATGTAATTGAGAAATGACTAATACTGTATCTAAAAAGAAATGCATCATATTTTTTCCTTCTTTCTTTCCATCTCCACTGCTTGACTGGGCCTGAGCAGCACTGTATAAATTGATGTACACTCTGAATACGAGGATGAAAGAAAAACCTGTAACATAGGCAGATGAAGATGTCTAAGATAGCCATGGTTTTGAGAAGGTCTTGTCTCAAACTTCCATTTTTTGAGACTTCTTTTGAACTGAAAATCAACAAGAAAAGTCTGGAACCTTTAGAATATGCAAGGAGAGAAACCCATAGCCTGCAGAGTCTGCAACTTTGTCACATGCGTAAGTTGATGTTCTTTACGTGGAAGTTTTTGCTGTACAATGGCAGTGTTTGTTTGCATATTTTTAAT